TACTAAGCTTACCTTTGTTTTGGAAGTATTGCAACCAATCCACCACATACAAAAAGAGTTGGAATCAAGTGAGCCTCTTTTACATCGAATGTATCACTTAGTTGCAGTAAACTTACAGACCGAGTTTTCAAGATACAATGGCCCTTTCACAATGGGTCAAGAAACTACTACAGTACTTAACATGCTTAGTCAAGCTGAATCAGTAGCTGTTAAGTCTGATCTACTTCTATTTGGAAAGGCTCTTTTTGATAAATGGACTGACACAACTCAGAGAAATATAGAAAATGATGTGTTACACTTGTGGCAGAGTGCAAAGGTGTTGGATCCATTCTTAAAAATGTCACTATCAAATAACTTCGAAGGTTACTCAAAGATGTTTTCACTCGTAGCTAGTATTACTCCTGATCTTCAAAAAGTATTTGAATATTACTTCTCAGAGCCAGTGCCGACTAACCCAGAAATAAAGATCATGGACTACTGGAAAGAAAAGAAAATTCTCTATCCTAATCTATCTGATGCTGCTGTTCAACTTCTGAGTATCAGTACAGGTAGCTGTGATGTGGAACGTTCGTTTAGTTTAATGAGAAATGTACAACAGCCGAATCAATCATGTATGAGTGAGAAGACATTATGTATGGAGTTAACTCTTTATTATAACAAAGACCTGGACCAATCATTTGATTTTTTGTAAAATTGTAATGGTTACTTGCCCGAAAAGGGTCTTTTTCTATTAGGTTTAACCCGATTTTGCATGAAATTGCTTGTTTCACAGTAATGCCCGATTTTGACACCCCGAAATAAGGTTTTTAGTTCTACCCGAAAAAGTCAAGGCCTACAGCTGGTAGAGTAGTAAATTGTGGTTGTGGTTTCTTTGCATGTATATTGCATGTGCTTATAATAATTATTGGCTTTTATTGCATGTGGATAGGTGTGGTAATTAGATCTATGATTATTAATAAGCAAATTAAGTAAAGGAAGTGGATATTGGTCCGGCAGCCGGACGCCTACTGCGCGGCTATTGGTCCGGCAGTCCCTATATAGTATACTGGGGCTTCACCCCAGTATACTAATACACGATTTTATATACAGATATCAAGTATAAATACGACAATCAGCAACATTGATGCAGCAGGGTTGCGGTGGTGTAGTGGAGAGGCTGGTCTGGATTGCACGGATGGGGTCAGCGGTTCGAATCCTGTCGGGACTATTGACTAAAACTATGCTGAAATGTTTGATTTTTTTTTCTTTTTTTTTTTCACTTTTTTTACTTTTTTTTTTTTTAATAAACACTCTCTCGTACATCTTAGCCTCCGGGGTCGTAGGGTTGGGATTGGGGTTTAGTGTTTAGTTTTTAGAGCACCCTCTCGTACATCTTAGCCTCCGGGGTCGTAGGGTTGGGATTGGGGTTTAGTGTTTAGTTTTTAGAGCACCCTCTCGTACATCTTAGCCTCCGGGGTCGTAGGGTTGGGATTGGGGTTTAGTGTTTAGTTTTTAGAGCACCCTCTCGTACATCTTAGCCTCCGGGATTGTAGGGTTTTGGGATTAGGGTTTCTTGATAAAAAGACTAAGTTCCATTTTGCACTATTGCGCATGCGCACAAGCTGTTTTACGGAGAACAACGGACTGCCGGATCTATAGCCGCGCAGTAGGCGTCCGGCTGCCGGACCAATATCCACTTCCTTAAGTAAAATGGCTTCTTGAAATGAAGTAACTTGCTCTAAGATCCAAAGAGAAGACAAGAACATCAGAAATCAATAAATTAAAAAGTAAAAATATTGCTAATAATGTGAAAGAGTTCTTAAGATCAATTACAAAGTTTATGGCACAAGCCTTGGCTGAAGAGTCACAATTTCTGGTCTGGAGGCTGAGGGGGGTGCTCAAGCCCCCTCAGCCCCCCCCCCTAAATACACCTCTGGTAAATATTAAAAGAACAAGTACATGTACATGTATAATAACATGCAAATTATGACTACACCTACAGTAACTGTACTGTATAGTGCAAAATTTTCGAGGGGTGTAAATGTCGCAAATTTTAAAAGATTAGCAAAAATCAAATTACTATGGTACAAGATGGCAGACAGCATAAATTCACATAAATACCACATGCATTTACATATATAGAGTACATCATATGTTTATGAAAACATACTTATTTTACAAGTTTTTAAAGAAAAGTTAAATAATCGAAATTAAGATTTTAAAAACCGATAATTTCACATTTTATATTTTTTAATAAGAGTGTGTGTACTCACTTTGGCTCAATGTTTAGTATACCCTTAGCCTCAGGATCCCTTGATTGTGAGACTAAAAGTGAGGCTGGGAATAGGAAATTTGACGTATGTCTGGTACCAAAGTATCAGTATAGGAGAACTTATCAATACCTAATAAAAGAGAGAGAGGGAGGAAGAGAATAAAGATTATTTGTACATATGTAACAAAATATTCATACCACATAGCAGAGGTTTCTGTTACCATATAGATTTGTACTAAAATTTAAAGCCCACAACAGTATCACAAAATAGTACATCTAGTCAAAAATTTACTAGAAATATTGCATGCCATAATTACTTGTATATGTACATGTATAATCAAATTAATACACTGACCATGACAAGACATTAAAGCTCTTATTAGGTTTAAGTGTCCAGTCTAGTGTTTGTACTACAGGGCAAGGAGGAGGAGGTACTAAAAAAAATTAAACATAAATTAATATACATGTACATGTATATGTAGAGTGGATAATTATCCACTCTTAATTGTAACTGTACAATGTACATGTATGTGTACACATTATATGAATGAGCTAACCTAAAAATCTTTTCAAGAGGTGAGATAAAAATTAAAATATTTTCATACAGTAATAGGTAGGCATTGTTGGGCAGGGTCAGTTTCTATAGCAACAAGGTAGCAGTAGAATTCAAGAGAAGGCAAAGGAAGGAATGTTGTTGGGTCTCTAAAGGAGAGGGACGGGTCTCTTGGGTTGACTGCATGGACTGATCCTCTTTTGAATCTTCATAAGACACTGAGAGAACAAAATAAAACATTAATATTGAGATTAGAGCGATGTACATATCTTGTAAAATCAATGTAGCTAGTTATTTTGAAGAGGGAAATTTGGTGATTCACAAAAAAATTTTTGTCAATTGGTTGGTTTTAATTTGACAAATTCGTAGCTATTTGCCATTGAGCATATACACATAATAGTTCGATGATAATGCAAAAATTCAACAAAATTTTTTTACCATATCTATAGTATTCATTTATTAATTATCCTACCTGAGTTAAAACAAAGATCATAAAAATGATTCCATCATTTGATTCTATAGGTCAGGCTGAGAGGATGGCCCAGCAATACATCAATAACAAACTCCTCTACACACAAGAGCTTGGAAAATATTTTCGGAAGGTTTTTACAAAGTTATAGATAAGTGATGAGAAGTTCAGAGATTCTTGGACAATACTAACATCCTGCAATGGAAAAAAAATTACTATTAATAGATTATGCTTGATATTATTATTGATATTATTAGGTTTGATGCTAATAATAATACATGTACATGTAGATTTGTTACTAATAATAGAATAATAGATTACTAGGTTTGTTAATATTATTAATAAGATAATTGTGCTATCATTGGATTATTAGGTTCATTACTATTAATAGATTATAAAGTAATTGTTGCTTTTAATACATTATAAGGTAATTGTTGCTAT